TCTTCGCACTCCATATATAGACTAACATATCTTACATAGACGCGGGATGCGGGTAATCGCGGTACGAATCGAGATGGGTACTTTAGACGGGTAATCCTCCGGTTGTCGTTGCGCTAGAACCCCCATTCCCTATACCACTTGTAGTACTTCTAATATTTCAAATCTTTGCTTAGAGTTGTATTTTTGATAGCTTTACATGTCGGTCATAACGAATTTTTTAGATCGATTGGCACCGAAAAATATTTCTGCTCCAGCAAATGATACTTGATTGAAAGCGATCTATTCGTGTTTGAACGTTTTAAGCATTATTCTTCGACATTTTGTATTGCAGGTAAATGGTATCATATCGCGGCTTCATTCGACAAAAAAACAGGCCTGGTTCGCACCTTCATAAATGGTGGAAAATTGTTCGAGGAAAAGGCGAACTTTGAAGCAAGTTATTTGATTACCACGGGAATAATCACGATAGGAAAGCGTATGTTAGGCAGGCGTTTGGTTGGTGAGACAATGGAACAGATAGTAGACAGACAGAATTATTTTCAGGGAGAAATGGATATGTTTTATATGTACAAATCCGCTGTGACAGAAGACGACTTACGAAAAATATACAATCAGTGTCATTTCAGTGGAGGAGGTGGGTATTTTTGTAGTGCAACCACGTGACCGAAAAATCCCTTGAAATGTGTATAATGATGAAACAGCTGCCATCTTGGTTGATCTAACAAGAGAAGCTTATTGAGGAATACTTTGTTATCGTCAACCAAGATGGCGGCTATGACGTAACATGCACCCCAAGAATTCATAAAAATGAGCTGCGTTCAAGAAAGATTGCATCACATTCCTCAATCACTAGGTGATGATGTGATTCTCAGGAAATTGCGTTCATTTTATATTAGACTTGACTTCTTTAAATTAAAAAAGGTTGTTGAAGGTTTTGCTGCATAAAGACCCCTTGCGTTGATTGCCTAGAGGAATCGTCCTGGGGGAGAAAACAATAGGCCGTCTTTTCTTATGCCAAAAAATCCAATGTTTTGTTCCCCAGAACGTCTCTTCTCGTCTCTTAACATAGATCATTCGGTAACTATTGTCAGCACATGAGAAATATGCCGGAAAGACGTGCAGCCAAGGCTTAGAAAACAAACAAACAAACAAAACAAACAAACAGACAGACAGACAGACAGACAGACAG